GTAACGTGAATCATAATCATAAAGATGTTTACAAACTAAGACTAGCATACGCGTGCGCCAAGCGAGCGGTATCGTCTGCTAGGAAAATTTATGCAGAGATGCGAGTTGATGGCGACTCTATTGTTTACCGATACGATGTATGGCCGTCGAAGCGTTTGCTGGATGCGGCAATTTCTTCTCCGAGATGAAAATGGGAATAATGAAATGAGATTGTTATCGGTAATAGTCTTTCGTGTGAGACTCAAACGGACATATTTTATTGAATAAGAACATGGTTTTATTCAAGGAACGGTGAGTACGATTTATGAATTAAGATTTATACGTTATAAAGCGATTTAGGGTAGTTCATCTTGTTTCATGGTTTTGTCTTTAAATTTATCAATATTGAGATCATTGAGTGATCAAAATGGTAAACATTGTCATCATCATGATCATCGCCGTCATCGTCATCGTCATTGAAGCCTTCGAAATCATCATTATAATCGTTATCTTCATCAGCATCATCAATAAAAGGCCACCAACAACATCTTCATCACAACATCACCATTAACATAAACCCTCATCAACAACATCATCATAATCATCATCATCATCATCACCATAGTCATCATCATCTCATCACCATTACCATTATCACCATCAACATGAACATAATCCTCCTCCTCCTCCTCCTCCTCCTCCTCCTCATCGTCATCATCATCACCATCATCATCACCGTCATCAGCATCCTCGTCATCATCATCATCTTGGTCCATTTGTTGTTAAATCACCCAATGATAATGCCACCATCACCATCACTACCACCGTCACCACCACCACCACCATCATCACTACCACCACCACCACCACCACCACCACCACCACCACCACCACCACCACCACCACCACCACCACCACCACCACCACCACCACCACCATGACCCACTCTCATCGCCACTACCATCATCATGGTCACCATCATCATTGCAGCACTGCATTTTCCATAATTATTTTACAGCAAAACGGCGGGATAGGCAAACTAGTTAAGTGACGATTCGTGAACATGACACGGCTGCAATCCACGCAACACTCGAAGTCGAGGATGGGTTTGACATGAATATGAAAAAAATGCCTCTTTTTAGAAATCGGCTTTCCTTTGAAATTTTTGTCGGACTATCCTGGTTTATTTTTTAGTAAAGCGGCTTGACACTCAGCTATATCATTGATCAGACGGAAGTACGTTGGCAGCGAAAACGACACGAAACAAAACAACAGAACATATTGATTTGTAGGTTATTAATAGTGTACTGTCATCTTCTAAAATCTTGAGGATGGAATGATGAATAAGACTTTGAGTAATTCAGTGCATCTTACATTATCGGTCTTTCTACTGTTTTCTTTGTCATAATTTGTTACAATATGAATATTTATAGTCTGAAATTTTTATAAGCGCTGTTTTTTTAATAGCAATTTTTGATGAAAAAAAAAGGATAATAATAATATTGAGAATAATCATAATAGTAATACTGAAAATGATTACAATAATGATCATAATGATGATAATAATAATAATAATAATAATAATGATGATAATAATTTAATAAGAAGAAGAAGAAGAAGAAGAAGAGAAAGAGGAGGAGGGAATGGAGGAGGAGAATAAGAAGAAGAAGAAGAAGACGAAGAAGAAGAATAAAAAGAAGAAGAAGAAGAAGAAGAAGTAGAAGAAGAAGAAGAAGAAGAAGAAGAAGAAGAAGAAGAAGAAGAAGAAGAAGAAGAAAAGAAGAAGAAGAAGGTGAAGAAGAAGAAGAAAAAGAAGAAGATGATGATGATGATGAAGAAGAAATATTAGTGTTCATTATGTGAATATCTCGTCTATTTGTCGGGAGGGAAAAACAAAATTGAACGAAATCATAGGGATACAGGATCATACAGCAATCAATTATGCGATATACCAGTCAAACTAGGACGCCATCCGTTGTCCTGATATCGTCAGTTTTAACACTTTTCTGTAGACACATTCAAGTCAAGTCGCTGCAGTTAACCCTTACTTTAAAATGTTGTAAAAAACTTTTTACATGGTCCCTCACTTTCAGAAATATTTACATGGACTGGGATTTGATGATGGTTTGTAAGGGTGTAGGGTCTGTTTCGATTAAGGTCTTTTTGCAGATGTTTGTTCTCATTTGTTATACATGTATTATTGTTATCATTATCATATATTCTTAAGAGTGTGATACTTTTATTCAAGTCTTATCATGTCTTACTTGGTTAGAATAGATCTATTTCTTTCTGATGCTACCTCAATTGTCATGTATTGTCTTGTATTGTATCGTTTCGTTTTCCCAATCTTTTCTTTTCCTTGCATTTTCTACTTCATGATACTATTATATTTTATGCTAGGGAACCTAAATAATGAGCTATGCTTTCCTAGATTTCCTCCGCAATACAGCAAGCCATTATCCATTATCTTCCCAGTCTCAATTTTATGCTTTTACTGCTTTGCGCTTTTCATATTATGTATATTTATCTTTTATTAATATTTTAATTAGAATGACTTTGTAAAAACGAAGAGCTTTGTAAATTTGATTTGCTATTATTGTGGAAATAAATGATATGAAAAAAAGGAAAAATGTCAGGATTTTCCTAGTAGACCTTGAAAAGTTTTTTTAATCGTTTTTCTGTCCTCTCATATCAAGAGGTACAACTGACGTCACATCTATGTCCTCCCACACAAAGCATTATCTCCATAGATTTTTCATACACAAAACACAAATCAAAGGGTACACAATGTTACGTCGTTTTCGTGTAAAGTGCTATAATTTTGATTTTTATTGATTTCTTAACAGGCACTTTTTATAAAAAATATACATTGTATAGCTTAAATACCCTGTTCCTACAAAACATATTAGTACGGTCAATATCGCATTATTAAAGATTTATAGATTTTTTTTTTTTTAGAGCTAATGTATTGAAAATTCGAGAATCCTGTTTTGTCTAAGCATCAATTACATCTTTTCGAAAACAATCTATATAAAATGCTGTATTTATTCACCGATTGATCTTTAACAAAAATGTCACAATGCGTACTTGAAAAATGTAACAGAGAGAGGGTGAGAAAGAGAGAGAAAAAGAGGGGGAGAAAGAGAGAGAAAGAGAGAGAAGGAGAGAGAGAGAGAGGGGAGGGGGTGGATAATTACCACAGTACCAATTCCATTTTTGACCAAGTTTTTCGCATGGCAAGAGGATATCTGATTTTCGCTTTAGAATAACGCAACGTGTTAGAATAAAATAGATTATTTCACATTTTTGATCAGTAATGAATAATGATACTTTTGATAATAATAATGATATTAATAATACCAATAACAGTGAGGATAGTAATAATAATAATCATAATGATATCAAAGATAAATAAAAACGACACACTCTTTTCGAATTTAAATGTGCACATTAGAACGTTGAAGACTGGGAATTATATACCTGGTTTTATTTTTACAAGCAATAGATTTAGTAAACGGTCTTCAAATTTGAATAAGTTCATCATTTAAATAAAATTTACAGCGTTAAGGAAACCTCATCACATCTGAAACTAGATTAAGTCCTACATTCAGTTGGAACTTCCATTAATATATCGATTCCGTAAAGGATTCCACATATTTTGGTATAATTTACATTCATATAACGTTATTTTTTCTCTCTCGATAAGTTGAATCTTTTAATTGTAGCAAGGTTCTCCTAAGAATGTAGATTTAATTTCCAAGTGACTGTACACAATCAAGCTAATAAACACCTATTTTCCCTTAGCAGCAATCAAATTATCACAAAACTGGAAATTAAAAAAATAAACATAGAAATGACAAAATACATTTTAATGATTTAGTATTAATTGCATAGCAGCTGTCGTGATAAAATTAAGTTACTAACAGACTATTTCGACTTATAAACCTATGAGTTTCAGCAAGCAATAGCAGCATGATTAGCGCTATTGTAAATATAACAACGAGGTAAATAAGGAAATGATTGTATTTGCGAAGTACAATTACCGGAGAACATAATGTGAGCAGAATGAAAAGAAGTGTGAGCGATGAAAGCTGGCTACAGAATAAGTGCAAGTGAGAAGTATCCATGCCCTTTGATGTACAAAATTCGTTACGAAAATGTACAAGAGATATAAAAATGAAAATATTCTTGGTATGATATGATGCCTTTTAGTATGACATGGGCTCAGCCATTTTCCTGAAAATGTGCCATACCAATTGAAGTTGTACATTATATCGAGCACCAAGCTTGAATTGGATCGACTTTTAAAAACCAATAAAAAAAATTAAAAAAAAATCAATTTTCAATGAGGAAAATCAATAGCTGAGAAGATATAAATTATATTTGGTGAAAAATATATGACAGGGAAACAATTGTAACTAATTCATTAAATACTAATTCATTAAAAAATACTAAAATAAGCAGTTGACAAATCTATTTCATTTATGAAAACACCTTCACCCCAGAAGAGCACCAACTTATTTATGAAATTTGCGTTCTGCCAATTTTAGTACAAAGGATAATAGCAGGTGAATGAAATGCTTCTTCACCACACGTACCTGGGCATGAAGCACCCATCAATTTGAATACATTTAATTGATAAACGACTTTCACATAGTACGCGTACGTCACGTTATCAAGAAAATGACGATGCCCATGCCATGCTGAGAATCTGTACATTATTCTTGCTTTATTTTCTCTCATACAATTTGGTGGGGAATCTTGTTGATTAATGGGCAAGAATATAAAAAATCTCTCAGAATAAGTAAAGTTATTTCTGGGGTTGAGGTTTCCTTTAAGCTTACTTCGATCACGACGGATCCTTAAAGGGATCGTTTAACAATGTTAAATCTGAGAAACACGGTCCTACATGTTACCAGTGTCTGTGATATGGTGTAATATTGAAGCCCTAAAAAAAAAATCGCGCTTCAAAATGATCAAGAAGTGCCTCAAAAAAATAAAAACCTTTGAGTAACCGGTTTTACCATACTCGTTTTCCCCAATAGACTGTAGTGTTATGAAAACCGTTCGGCGAACGGTTTTCAAAATTTGTAATTCCAATCATTAATATCTTGATATTCAGACATGCGATCGGCTTGTGAAAGTCATGGAGTTCCTGACTGACCTAAAGGTTTATAATTATCATTGCAGCATGAGCTAAATCAAGGATTATTTATAAAGGATCTAAGACAAAGTTACCGGATCCCTTTAATGTTAAAGCGAACTTTCAGTACCAGAGCTCTAGCCGAAAAACGTATTATGAAAACATAATAAAACGGAAATCATACACACTTTTCAAAATATATACAAAGTATTAAGAACAGATGGAAAGGATTCAATATATATTTCTTTAAACAAAATAAAGGTATTGATTGGCGAAAGCAGGATTTTCATTATTTCCCATAACATTTTTCATGAGCAGTATGGAAGGTTATTTATCCAACTACATGCATTGCTGTCATTTACAGACGCAGAGATATTTCCTTGTCTGACATTCACAATCAATATTCATTTCATATCTTTAAAAGCTCTAGATGCTGAAGATTGATTGCGGTCTGGCGCATTTATTTCACTTAATTCTTTAATTTGATATTCAGACGAGACGCAGAATTAAGCAGGTTTGAGATGTGGTTTGATATCTAGAATGTATGAAACGTGGAATTGTGCAATTTTGAGAAGTGCTTTATAGTTGCATCCGTCTATTACATATTTGAGGAAGTTATATACGAACGTATCGTAGTTTCCTTCAAAAATTCTGAATAAAATCTCACAATTTTGCTATTTTCCTTTAATCTAATCAGGGTAATTCATGCCAACAAGCTCAGGAGTATTCCAACCGTTATTATTTTCTAAATATTGTGTTATTGATGAATAACATCATTTAGAAGAATAAGAATAATTAGAAGAAGAATAATGTTGATCAGAATACAAAAGAAACGAGTTGGATTCTAAGGTAATTTTTTTTATAATTCGTATCAATTGATAATCACCTTTTTCCTTTTATAATTACATAAAAGAGAAAAAAACCATTGCCAAATTACAAACATTAAGCCGAGTGGCATTATTTTATCAAATTCTGGGACACAATACTAACATTTCAAGAATGGAAGCTATTTCAACCTGCTGACCCATCTCCTTCTTCCACAAGAGAAACAGCCCCTCACAAAATACGACCAAGACAAGTTAACTTCCCTATAATTAGGGCATCCATTTTGACAGCCCTTAAAGCCCCACTGACTACTTATCGCTACTTGTGCCATCTATATAGCAAACAATGCCTAATTAGTGACCATTAGTCCCCCATGATCCTCTTTTTTCATGTTTATTGAGAGCTTATTTGATGAGATAACCACCTGTCAGTGACCATGCAGGGAGGTCTAATCCCTCCTGGCCAAACTAGTGCGGTGGGGCTTTAAAACAAGCATCCCTCACTAAAGAAGTTCAGACCCTCCATAGCAAAATGTTCATGAACGACCTGATATAGCACTTTACAAACCTCTAAGTGTTTTGCCTCAGCCTAAATCTTACAAGCATCGAACCATCAAGTTTGAAAATGTCTAGACAATGAAATAAAGTGATCATGACTTGTATTTTACATTCCCTCCCCCTTTCCTAGAACAAATTGATATCACATATATCCCAATCTTATAAAAGAAATAGATAGTTTCCAAAATACGTTTATAAGAGGAATGAGTCAATATTCTTCTAATCAAACTCTGATCACAATGATCATTGGGAGAAAATGCGAACATTGGAAGTTGAGAATGAAATATAATCAATAAAATGTATTCCGCAAGAAACAGTCCCTACGAACCTGATAATAACAACGTAACTTCCTAGGTCATTCACGCTCACAAGCATTAGAAATAAAGCATTCCGTTTGAATAAAACCATCTTCTGGATAATGACATGTTTATGAATGTCCTGACGTAGAACATTGACCAACTATACCATAGCAGGTTGCAATACCTTAAAATACATATTACCTTATCCGAAAACATACCAAGAATGATCAAGTTTGAGAATGACTTGTATAGCCATACTTTGTGCGTATCGAAGATCTATAATTACACAATTATACTGAATATCAATGTTAAGGCACATGTCTAAAACGTGATCTTCTTCGACAAAATATCTCAATCTTCTTTTCGGCTACTTTTTCTTTTCTTCTGGTAAAGACTAGGATGTAGAGTTGAACAACCTTTTCATGATGGTGTGTTCTCTGTTAGACTTTCCAGAAAGTAGCGCAAGCGCTTTCCCTTCACGATTCCATGGAGAACCCAACGCAAGAAACCGCCGCTAAAGGCAAGATGGAACAAGCGACCTTCCAACAGATCAGCCAAAAGCTTGTTCATCAGCTTTTAGGTCCGTCCTTTTCAAGACCGGACCAAATTGAAACTCAAAAGACCACACTCACGTCGTTCCCTTCAAATAACCGATTCGGCAAAAATGGTAATTGCGACGTTGGGGTGGCTCTCAAGACGTACGGATGCATCGTCGAGCTGGCGCAGAACTTTCCCGTTGGCCGTCACCCCACCGCTGCTGCACGGCATTTTACTCTTCAGGCAGGGCTTATCCAGGTCTAAAAGATTATTCCTGGTCTCCTTCTCGATGTGCAAACTATCCTCTGTAGTTAGCTCGGATGTTCTTTCACAATTCCTCTCACAACACTTGACCAGGACTACCTCGTCATCGCGATCCGAAGGAGCCACGCATTGCCTTTTTGGAGGATGCGCCGCATTTCCGCCATTTTGTCTCGGACGCGCACATGTGCACGCGGTGTTCTTTGGCTTGGGCGTAGCAACGGTGATTTCGGGTGACGAGTTCGCACGTTCATTTCGAGGCTGACATACGGGTGCGTTCTCCTTACCACGAATATTTAACAATGGACGCGCGACGCGGTTGCAGCTGGCACTACGCGCAGTCTTATTACTCGTGGTTTTACTTGATAGTTGTGCCCCGTCTGAAGTGGAAGATGTCGTTTTGATTTGCATGTTGTGTTCATGGATCCTACACTTTTCGCACTCGGCACATGTAGTCTGTTCCTGACCCGTATCGGCGAGTAAATGTTTAGACATTGCGTCACTCACACTATAAACACCTTTTCGTTTATTTGTCCTCTTCTTTTTCCTCTTTCCATGGATAACGGTCTTCTGTAACCAGTTTGGAACTTGCTTCTTTGGTTTCTTCTTTTTATCGTCCTCCGTGTCACTGAAGAAGAGAATACAGGAGCAAGAAGTTAAAAAAATGCATAGAAGTAATACGGATTCACCGTTTAACCAAACTGCAGATTATACTAACGTTTAAAAAATGAGACATCACATGTGTTTTGTACTACAACCAATTGGTCTCATGCTTATTTTTGTTCACAGGGTCAATTCAATCCTTTTAGAAATGTGTTTTAAATGGATCACGAAGGTACCAGCAGAGGCACTACTATCTTTTGGCAAGACATTGACATTTGTCACTTTCTGTATAATCTTGGCGCAGAAAAAAGAATACATGGTAGTAAGTAATTCCTTGAATGCTTTCAGTGGCTTTATGCAGCTTCATTAGAGCAAGGGAAGTACTTTGTCGTGATTCACAGGCGCCTTGTGGATACTGACCTTGCATGTGGTGGACAAACATGTTTGCGATATCAATGTTTGTGGTATAAATGTTTTTGGTATAAATGTTTGTGGTACAAACGTTTTTGGTATAAATGTTCGTGACATAAATGTATAGTAGCTAAAAAGTAGTATCATTAGACCATCTAACCGAGGACCAAATAAAGGCAATTTGCCTCGGTGATAAGGATCTTTAAAATTATTTCATTTCTACGATGTCGTAAGAGTTCGAGGACACCTACCCCCTGAGATCCACCCCCGGATAACCACCCAGTCAACTACCCCCTAGGACAACTACCTCCTTGGGCAACCACCGTCTAGGGCTACTACCCCCTGGGACAACTACCCCCAGTAAACTATACGCCCTAGGACAACTACCCCCTAGGACAACTACCCCTAAGAGAATTACCCCTCGGACAACTACCCCTGGACAACTACCTCCAGACAACTACCACCCGACAACTACCCCCCAGACAATTACCCCCTACGACAACCATCCTCTAGGATAACTACCCCCGGACAACTATACTAGGGTGTAGTTGTCCTATGGGGTAGTTGCCTGGGGGTTAGTTGTCCGGGGGTAGTTGTCCTAGGGGGTAGTTGTCCGGATACGGTCGTTAGAACCTAGTACATTTCACCACTTACTCTTTTTCATGGAGGGATCCCCAGTACATGAACAGAACAAAGGCCACAAGCACCGCTATACCACCTGCATACATCGGGTTCTCGGGTGGAGCTGGACATTGGAAATAAAAGGTAATACAAAGTTTTGGTATGGGGCCATGAATTTGGGTCAAATGAACATATTGGGAAGCATATGCGATTTTACAATATTCAATGATCGTTAAACACATTTTATCATTATCATCAGTGGCACAGCTATGAGGAGGAGGGGGGGGGGGTGTTCCTCAAAGTGAAAGACGAAAAATAAAGTAGAGGGGATTATAAAAGAGCAAAAATGGGGGAGGGTGTAAGAGATAATGAGAAAAGATCTCAAGGAAAACCTTCCCACCCTTTCTCCATATAAGTGCACCTTCCACATGCACCATATCATCCAACTCTTTCTCTTGTATCTTCGTGGTAGATAATGATAAATAAAGAAATCAGAGTCATTTCCTGGGAATATAATTTCTGCCATAAACGCCTTTTGAAGGTTGAGGTGTCGTGGTATAGTGGTTAATTCACAAGACTATTGATTCAAGGGTTGAGGGTTCGAATCCCAGCCCGACACTAACGTCGCGAGGCAAGATCATTAATCTACATCCAACTCTCCACCCAGGTGTTACTAGGGTCCTTGGCAATTGCTGGGATTAACCAGAAATTCCAGGGTCCTCAGATAGAATAGCATTGGTACTGATGAGATACATGTATAATTGGGTCAACACAATAATTATTATCAAGTTCGTTTCATACCGTGATACCTGATGAACATGAACAGTTCACCCGGTTGTTACGGTATTTTAACTTCGAAAAATAAATAATGCAAATTCCATCGCCTTCATATTTTCCTGAACACTAAATGAAATTATGTTTGAGTGGCAGATGCAGGATTTTCTAGCCGCGCCGGAGGAGGTGCACAAGACAAACAAAATCTCCTATAACTACAAGCTATCTTCCAGGTGTCTTTTAGGTTCTTTGGAGGAGGCACATAAAGAGGGGACAGGTTCTTATTTCGTTCCTTCTAATTAATGGGAACCAAATGTATTCTACAAAGTGTTTTGTCTGGCAGAGATGGGGTGTGGATAGTAGATGTTTCCCCTTGCCTCCTGGATACATCACTATGCATATTAAAGAGGTTCATGCGTGGGTATATAGTCGTTCGTGAAGTAGGCAACTTGGCGATCACTATATAACACTGAGCCAATGGGTATTACGCTCCCATGCGTACGTCCGTGTGCTGCCCTCTATGTAACCCCGCTTGAGCAACTTTAAATAATCACTTACTTTGCGTTATTTCTTGAGGAAAGGTATCATTCAGTTGGTCCATACTGTTCCATATTGTCGATGTACTGGCCCACGTGTCCACATAGCCTGTGTTGTGAGAAAGAAAGACAGAAGATCAAAATATGTAATTTTAAAGGATTAAGTTATTCATTTGGAAGATTAGTAATAGAGGGCCGGCCACGCTTCTTCTCCTTTCATGTTGTGTTCTTCATCCAAAGTCTGCCATGTCTATTGGGTTCAGCCGATTGATTACAACGAACAAAAATAAGATATTGAAGTAAATACTCAAGGTATTTGGTTCCTGCGATGACAAAAAAAGGGGGGAGCAAGAGAGCCAGGGACGGTTTGAGAGAGGGAGGGGAGGAGGGAGAGAGAGAGGGGAGGAGGGAGAGAGAGAGAGAGCAAGAAAGAGAGAGAGAGAGAGAGAGAGATAACACGATTTGGGGGGGGGGGGTTCAACGGTTGTGATAACGTTTTATCAACATAAATCAAGCACTCGGTTGTATACAATATGACGGACTGATCACCATTTTGCTCATATATCAATGATTATTAAAAATAAATATCTTCATTCAAATAACTGAGGCGGAGCAGCTGATTTCGTTTGTAGATGAAATGTAGTCGTATGTTAGGTCATTGACTGACGAGGGACAAAAGAATGAGAGAGATGGGAGAAAGAAAAGGAGAGAATAGGGAGAAAAAGAAGCATAAAGAGAGGGAGAGGGGTAATGGGGGAGACAGTGGACAGATGTGAGAGAGATAATAGGAGAAAGATGTAGAGCAATAGAGATGGATGGAGAAGGTGGGAGAATGAGAAGGAGGAAGAGAGAGGGAGAGAGATGAGAGTATGTGAGTGTGTGTGTGTGTGTGTGTGTGTGTGTGTGGGAGAGAGAGAGAGAGATTGAGCGAAGGAGAGATGGGGAGGAGAGAAAGGGAGAAAGACAGATATATATAATTTATTTATATATGGTTTAAACGGTGTCAAAAACGATCGACCCTGCAAAGATACTTTCACCAATTTAAACAACAACCACCACCACCGCCACCACCACCGCCACCACCACCACCACCGCCAACAACAACAATCAACAAAAACCAAAATACAACAACAAGAACAACAATGATAGTCTACACTTCCTGTAGGCCGAGATGTCCCCTCTGTGTCATGTATGATGAATGATGTAAACTCGTGCGAAACTCTTAACACTATGAATTATGAATGGGAAATTGAATCTCGTTCACACCAGCCGAATGCGACCGAGTTTTCCGCGGAGAGGTTTTCATGAAAGTTATGAGCATTGAGATAGAAAGCTAGGTTGATACGTCACTTTACCCCAAAGGTTCGAATGGCAGTGTGACTGAACTTAAAGGTAAAGACCAGTAATGGTCATGCGATTGCATTGTGAAAGAAACGTTGTGGAATCGATCAGAAAAGGTCGATCATCTAGCATCTGCAAGGTTCTGGAATCATCAAAATGATAAGAAATTTGGCTCATTCTTCGTAAAGTTACAAGCACTATACACAGAAAGATGTATATGGGACTACCCTATCTCTCTCACCAGACCATGAGAGAAATAAATTTACCAAATATATGAATTAGTAGGCGGTTTCCCGGCAAATTTTTTATCATCATGTATTATTCAAAACATATTCTTTCACATGATTGGTAATGAGAGCTGCCATTTCATTTTTTGAAATTGGGGCGTTGCCAATACTGGTCTTTACCTTTAAGGAAGTGTATAAATTACGCAACCTTTCTCGGTTCTCAGTCTTTACAAGAGAGATAATTGGCATAGCGAGGGACCAGCTAATGAGAGGGGGCACTTGTAAGATGGGGAAGGGGAGGGGGTCACTTGTAAGATGGGGAAGGGGAGGGGGTCACTTGTAAGATGGGGAAGGGGAAGAGGTCACTTGTAAGATGGGGAAGGGGAGGGGGCACTTGTAAGATGGGGAAGGGGAGGGGGTCACTTGTAAGATGGGGAAGGGGAGGGGGTCACTTGTAAGATGGGGAAGGGGAGGGGGCACTTGTAAGATGGGGAAGGGGAGGGGGTCACTTGTAAGATGGGGAAGGGGAGGGGGTCACTTGTAAGATGGGGAAGGGGAGGGGGTCACTTGTAAGATGGGGAAGGGGAGGGGGTCACTTGTAAGATGGGGAAGGGGAAGAGGTCACTGGGTTAACCAGGTGGATGAAAGGCGATAGGACAAGCTCAATTTATTATCTATTATTTATTCAAGTTTCATTTGAATAGAGGATAGGTACATTCAGTAAAAAAAACCCTGCTTTTCAAGTACGCCCTCTATGATTGAGGAGATGCTATTAAAAGGGCTCGTACCTTTTTTTTTTCTTCTCTCTCCCCCATTTGCGGCCATTTATTGGAACTTCGTGCCCAAGCTAGTGGCAGTAAATAATGATAATTCAAACACTATAATAAAACAAACAAATGATGAAAGCATTTGTGATAGGAATTGTCATATGCACCTACGGTGACCAGGGGCGGCGATTTCTGTTCATGACCGGGGGGGGGGGGGGAGGGGGGGGGGGGGGGACGAAATGCGATTTTTTTTTTTTTTTTTTTTTTTTTTTTTTGGGGGGGGGGGGGGGGCAATTTTATTAGTCTAAACGCTGCACTCTTGGGCCCTCCGGAGCCTAAAAGTGTATTGCAGTCATTATTCAGTATATGCTGTACAATTTTGTTTGCACTTTTTCAAATTTTCCGGGGGGGGGGACGATCCCCCTTAACAAAATTGAGGGGGGACGTGTCCCCCCCCCCCCCCCCCCGTCCCCTCCGGGATCACCGCCCCTGACGGTGACCACGGTAGGAACGCTCATCATGGAGTGGATATGGTTCACATTGTTCGTGAATGAATCCGATGACCAAGATAATAACATATGTAAAAGGCGTAGGGACTGTATTTCATATTAAGCGCTTTATTAATCAATATTATTTCTACTATTATTACAAATATAATATCAGTCATTTGACATCAGAGCACGAAAATAGTATATTTCATGTTTTTTTCTTCATTTAAAATATCTTGAAATATCTTGAAATAACTCAATGACTTATAATATCACATACAAGCGGCACAATTGGTTTTGTTTTAATGGAATAAAACTAATGGTCGTCTTTTCTTCCGAAAATGTTATCGTTCTTGTACTAAAATTTAATGATATTTTGGGGGCAAGCAAACGCAACTACCACAAGCATTATTACCGATCAAAGCCGACAATATATATATTTTTTCTCATTCCATTCTAAGACACCATACTCTGCCATTTGTTGCAAGAGGGAATGAGTTACTCATTGTGTAGATGTTGACAAACCTAAAGCTGACTGTTTGCTTCAGATCATATGACAGTGTAACGTCAAACCGAGCTGGAACCTAATGGTCATATTGATTGGCTATCTTCAGCCGACGCTGATTTTCTCTTTTTCATGATAATGCTACTGATAGACATAACACAACAGGAGAAGTCTAAAATTGTCATCGGTTCGGAAAATAACATGGCTGTATCAAGCTGATAGCTCTATTAGGGCTTGAATCTTACAAATCATCATACAAATTATGTTTTGCCCGGTAATGAAATTTAATATGGGGCTGAAATTAAGACGGTTCCATTCTTCTGAAGATAATCTTTCTCAAGATACAAAGGAACACGACGAAAAAAACTGAGTGCCCCCATTATTTTTTTTACACCCACTTTCATGCGACCTAAATCTTTACTCTTCCAAAGATCCGAAAGGCGGTCAGTCGGCCATTCATACAAAATAATGAAGAATGCATTTCTTCATTTTTTTTTTCACTGAGCGGCGGGGGGTAGGGGGTTTCGCCACAACACGCCGGCTTTACCCAATGCATAATACAGTTCAATTTATACACACATGAAACAACGATCTGCATACCATTCTCCTGTGGTCTAAATCATAGCGCTAAATCATAACAACTTTTAAAAATCGGACAGTGCAAGAAAATATAACATAGGTGGATCTTTTCAATACCCTCTGTTTATACAACCCGCGAATCAATAAGCCAAACAGCATGAAATTTATGAACTTTGCTCTGCGTGGTACGTACAATATCGGCACGCCCGTTTGGAACAAACACACAATATTTAGAGCTTGTCAATTTGGCTTGCATAAATATATAGATGAATGTAATTGTTTAGCTCCCATGACCGCGGAGCATATTTGAGGGAACACGTTATGACATGATGAGTTGCACACCGGCTAATGGTGAAAGTATCTATGTGCCCTTGATAGCTTTGAATGAAGGGTTGAAGTTTAATAACTAGAAATCCTTTAATATATTTGTTCCTTTTTTCATTCATGACAGAGTCAAATCAAATGAAGGACGGACAATAAGCTTATATAGGTGAAGGGTCGAAATTCCATGGGGGCGGGGGCTAAAGGTGTTTTCCCGCATTAAAATGTTTTTTACTCCCTGTCTTTGAAAAGACTGCGAGTAAATATTGCCACTTTTTAAGGGTGACAATGCAATTTTGAAAGCAAACTATACACATTTTAAATGAGATTAACAAATTACACATTATAGATCACCCACTTTCCGAATATAAACAAAAATGACGATTGTCATAATATTGCTAAATCTAAATCCTGAGGAGGAGGGGGTCCTGTAGCACCTGCCCTGTAAGCACAAAAAAAGACAATGAATTTCCTCTCATTAAAAAACAAATCATAAAATAACACTCCCAAATGTTCGAGCTTTTCATAGCAGTTATTTCATATTATTCTCGTTTTTATTTCTATTTATTCATTTATTTATGATTATTATTATCCCCTTTTTTTGGGGGGGGGGGGATTCTTTGAGTCATATTCTACACGGCCTCCCTATTCATCACTAATTTTCTGATATATTTTATTTTTGGGGGGAGGGAAGCTCGAAGAATTGTTGACAGGGATTGAGCACCCACCCTTCATATTTCACACCGCCACAGTGACTGTGTAATCATTCTCAAGAGCACAATTTCTCTAGATGTCGCTGAATGCTCTCTAGAGTCGAGAGATGGAGTGTACATTCGCGATATCAACCTGGCCTACTTCCGAGCTGCATCCAGACTCGAAAG